CCCCAAAACCCCAAAACCCCAAAACCCCTCGCATCTATTTAAGCATAAATTTTAGAAATCATATTAAGTTCACATCAATCATTAAATTGAGTAGATATTGATTAAGTTAGACTACTTGAGTATTCAATCTTACTCATTGAGTTTCTCGTTCATTCTCAGAGTTAGTTGTTATACATCATTACATTGTTGCTATTGACAGCATAATTCTTTGACTTCTCGTTGCTTCTGTGATCAAATTAACTTGCGCTTGATTATTTCTTCAATGAGCTGTTCTTATCTTGGTAATTTTATATTTTCTTCCAAGAGTTAGCTTGAGCTTCAAAGGCGCTCGATCTTCTGTTTGGGCCATCAGGTGTTGTTGCTGAATGCTAGGTTACTCCTGTAAGTTTTCCCTTATCATTTGGAGATCGAACCGTTTGTACATTAGTAAATCCGTAGTGGTTTGTAGTGAATACTTTCTGGCTTGGATTTTTTTATGGAGTTATTCTTTTGTTCGAAGAGATTTATGTAGTTGTTTAGGGTTTATCTTTCATAAGCAGATCTTATAAAATCTTATCAGATCTCATTGCAGAATCAGTTTTGATGTATCCAAGAGAATTCAGGCCATCTCTAGGAGTGACAAAGGACTCTAGTTTTTATTTTTGCATTTGACTTCTTTGCTCAGCAATGTTTCCGAATTCCTTAGCTTTGACATTGCATTTCTGAACTAATTCATCGAGAATGTTTGCATTTTTAACTACTGTCGAGGATGGATGGTATTGCTACTGCTGCATATGCTAATTGTGCTGTGTTAATTATTGATGAGATAGATGATGATTATTATTTGAAGAACCATTGTGAAGAACCTGTTGTGAATTAGTTTGATATTTAGAAGATGATGATTAGGGTTGGGTGAAATGATCCTGACTGCATCTAGTTTCAGTGCCATCAGAGGAATTTTTATGATTGCAGTTATAACAGTTTTCTTTCAACCCCAGTAACTGTGTAGATCCTGTTATCTTGATATTTTGATTTGTTTTATCATTAAATAGCACGCTAGTCATTTAAGAGGTTTGAATCTAAGAAGGTGAGTAGACTAGTCCATTAGAGCTAGTTGACTTTTTCATATATGCCTCAGCATGACTCATTTGGCTGTCACGCACTCTTCCTAGCTAGTTCATGTGTAACCCTCCAGGTTATGATTAATTTGAATTGATACTTGATAACTTATTTCCGTTGTAGTATACTGATTTGTGAATCTGATTACAATTTCTTGAGTTAGTCTATAGTCCATTCTAGTTATAACTTGACTTAAGTGGGGATTCAGAAGGCTACGGCATCTATTGGTAGTAGTCAATGTCTTCTCCCTCATCATAGTGATCGTTATCCATCATATTTACATCGTTGTCGTTATCGTCATTGTAGAATCTAGTGTTCTCATCATCTACTAAAACACCTTCTATAGACGATAAATCATCAACATTCTATTCTGAGTGAAGTCGCTCAATAGAGGGTTGGTGTCTCAGCTCCTATAATTTATTTGGAGTTAGATTTGAACTGACATTAACCTCGTATCGACTTTTTGAAAGCTGGCTTTGCTAGTTTTATTAAAGAGAGAAACTCTATTGATTTGGATGGATACCCATATTGTTGTTACTAACTTTTGTTTCATTAATAGATTTGTCTTGAATAAGATCTTCAATTTCGTAATCAAACCTCTTTACAAGTTGCTGCCTTACAGAATTTTCGCTTTCAGTATTTTTGCTAAATTAAGATTCTTTGAGACTCATAATGGCATTGTTGTTGGCATTTTAGTTATTGTTGTTGTTGCTCACATTTGAGGTCTGTTTATGGAACAGACCATTCATGATTTTAAAGTTTCCTCCAAGAACGTTCTAGCCAGTTGGTCTATTGTTTTAAGCAGGCTCTAGCACAGACTAACTGATAAAATGGTTTTGAACTGAGAGAATGTCATCACAGAATTCTGGGAAGTGATTTTAAATGTCCAGGAATTACTTCATATGAGGACTTTCTTTAATTGCAGGAATGAGTACTAAATCTTAAAGGTACTGCTACAGAATTTTCCTTCTATCTTCAATCAAGCTAGATGAGCCTGATCCTCCTCCAGTAGATCTACCTTTGATGTTTCCAAAGTCATTCAGAGTTTTCTAAGAAAACTGGTATGAACTTTGAGGGAACTTTATATTAGGGTATTGATTTATAAGTTTTTCATGTAATGAGCAAAAAGCCTTATACTTTTGATTGATAACCCAAGTCTTGTCATTGAAATTTATAGAAACTACATACTCTGTATATTGCCTGTTATCAACAGGGTCAACATCTATCCTAGTCTGTTGGATGCTAATGCTGAGAGGAATCTAGAAGAAGTGCGATCTGGTGTATCTGTTATCCTTACTGCAGGATTTCACATGATCTACAAACACTTCAGAAGGGAAGAACACTTGACAAAATTTGCATTGCATTGACTATGAGTGCTTAAACACCCTTTGATATACTTTAATTTAACTTATTTTCTATTACAACTGCTGGCATCTTTACTCTACTTTAGCTATTGTTTCAGATAAGTTTTTATTCACCATAATCAATTGTTGATCCTATTCTTTTTCCTAGCCACGGTTATTAATTGCAAAAAGAAGCACTTCATGCATCTTCTTATTCTCATCTATTTACTTTTAAGAAAATAATAGCTACTCTTGCAAAAATTACTTCTCCTACTCCCACTACTTTTACTTCTCAATACTTACGAAGCTGTCACTGTTCTTACTTTCATCTATTTTCCTTTGGAAGAAGTCTTTTAAAATGTCCACTTCCTTCTTTTTCTCTTCATCCTTAGTTTTCAGCATTTACTCTGACTACTTCATCTGTTATTCTTAGAATGCTACTTTCTCCAATAGTTATCTATTCTCATTAAAAAGCTATTCCACTCTAAGAATTAAGGTTTGATTCTCCTTTTCTGTATATACTATCTTTTAATCCCTGAGAGCTGAATCCTTTTCAAATGAGATTTGTGACTTTAAATTCTGATCTTCAAGTACCTTTAACTTTTATTGGCAATCTCTCAACTATACCTAGAGCTGATTTTCAATCTTATCTTTTTATTCATTCATTTGAGAAACTTTATCAGATATTTGGATTTCTAGTTTGTTCCTTTCACTCTCCAGTAGCTTATTTTTCTCTTCAAATATTTTATTGTTTGCTCTTAGACTTTGAATCTCTGATTAGATGTCTATGAGTTTATTTTGAATAATATTTCTTTCTGAATCATAGTCTGATTTCTTAGACTGAAGATCTTTCTCTAGATAGATTGATTTTTCTGTAAGCTACCTATTTTAATTTGTTAATTATTCCTTTTCTTTTCTAAATATAGCCTCATATCCCTTCATTATAAGCTTTTCAACTATACCTCTAATTACAGCATCTTTCTATTAATAGATTATCGATAAGGTCTGTTAGGCATAAGTTTACTTCAGCTTCTCTATATCTTTGTTGAAGTCTGGGATACATTGATATAGATCTTATCTAATTAGAGACTCTATATTATCTACATCCTTCTTTGTGGATTCATGGCATTTTAACTCATAAATTTAAATGCACTTGGTCTTTACTATGACAAACTTCTTTTAAAGATCATCAAGGATTTTAGATTCAAATTCCTTAAGATTTTAGCCAACAGCTTTGTCTTTGAAGTAAGCTAAACTTTCCTCTTTCAAAGTTTTATGGGCTTTCTTTAAATCATTATAGTTAATACAATCAGTTCGTTTCAGATTTAAAAATGCTCTAGCATTCAATTCCTTCTCATAGAGTTAAATTGATTCTTGAATTGCCCTTTGACATTCGTTTTAACATAAGTATGTCCAAGCTGATTCTATGCAAGGAACTGAACCTTTATTTATAGCAGTAGTGTATGCTTAACATAGCTCTAAAAATAACTCACCAGTAATAAATTTTCCATTCAATACCTTGGGCTTCACTCTTTTGAAGATTCTAGCCCTTAATGTAGTCATTTACTCAATAAACTCTGGTCTAAGCTTATCGTCTTCCATCTATTGTAAGTTTTGCAAATCTTTTTCTTCCTCAGTTGGCCTGACCATAGTATAGCAATCTCTGTCTTTGAAAAAATTGAGGATCAATCTTCGAATCCTATTTTTCTTTTCGATGTTATCTGATGTACCTTTTTACTCTTTCAATGAATTTTCAAGATATTCCTTTGAATTAATGGGGTTCCCATATTGATCAAGTAACCTCAGAGCGAAATCTCTTACAACCCATAAGAAGGATGGAAAGTATCTAGCCACTTCATCTGGATCTGCCTCTTCAGCTTTTTGATTTTTGATTTGTAGTTACTTTGAGAGATTAACAATTAGAGATAGGTTTTATAGAGCATTTTCATCAATTGTACCCATTGAGTTATAGACAAAATATGAACTTAGTAATAAGGCTAGGAGGAATATTCGAGTATCATGGTTTTAATCCTCGTTAAAGGCACCTATGCCTTCACTATCAACAATGAATACCTTAAAAGGAGGCTCACCAGATCTGTTATCAATTTCAATTGGCTTATTCCAAATCCAAAGACCCTAAACACGAAAAAAATTGACAAAAAGATTTATTTACCTTGGTGCATGGGTTTATTGTGGGTCCAACGCCAAATCCATTAGCATCCTTTTTATCAAGAATAATTCTGTTGAGGAGGAAAGACTTTCCTGTCCTGTATTTTCCAGCCACAGCTATGATACCTATTTTCTCTTTTATACCTCCCAGTAGTTATATTGCCTCTGGACTTACTTAGAACCCTAAAATGATTAAATACTTTTCAATAAATATACCTTCTTTTTAATCGAATGTGATTAGATTGATAGCTTTTTCTTGAAAATCCTCTTGGATTTGTGAAGAGTTAGTTGGATTATCAGGCTAAGCATCATGAATGCTCTCTTGCAAGAGAGATTAATTTATCTGGTCTTGCTATTCGAGCTATTCTTCAGGAGGAATGTTTTCCATTAAATTTAAATTTTAAATATATCGATCTATCATTCATCTGTAATTCAAATTTCAATTAAATTGATATTCTTGGGGTTTTGGGGTTTTGGGGTTTTGGGG